TCTCTCTCTCTCTCTCTCTCTCTCTCTATATATATATATATATATATATAATCGTCGTCTTCATTATCTGAGTTTTATCCCAATTATTTGAAGTCGGCTATATGAATTATGTTCCGCCATTCCGCTACATCAAAGTCACACCCTCATACACACATAGTATATATTTTAAAATTTAAAAAACAAAAAGGAAAACTGAAATGGAAAATTCATTCGTGAGTCTGGGGGTTGACTCACTAACTCACTAATGTCCATAAGATGGATATTGTGAAAAACTCACACGGATAAAATGAATTTAGATGGTGTAGAAATTTTTTGTACCCAACAAATCCACCAAGTTTTCACCATCCCAAGTATAAATTCAATCCTAAAATGGCTGCAATTCGAAGAAACAGATCATAAATATTAATCCAAACTATTAAATATCAATCAATCCCAAATGAAAATTTCAAAAAAAATAAAAATAAAAAAAACTCATTGACATAATCTGAGCCTTATTCTAACAATTGAGTATCTCTCTTAAACGAATAATGTTCTATCATTCCACTCTATAATGTTCAATTACTCATGATATAGATATGACAAAACGTTAGGTACTTCCCAACCTAACATAGCGCTCCTCTTTCCTCATCCTAGACCGGTAACGGTTGAATTGAGGAATGAGAAGAACTAATAATTAAAAAGCAATTAAATCAATCCCCAAATTACAGATTATGTTTTAACTGCATCGTTTATTAATAATTCAGATCCCAGTCAGATCAACAAGATTGATTGATGAGATCTTAAACATAACATCTTTGTAGATGATACAGGAAACATACACTACAAGGAAACCCAAACCCTAGAAAAAGGTCTATACGCTCTAATAAACTCAACATGCATTTACAACAAGCGAAACTGTGTTGCAGGCTTACTAAGGATTACAGATAAAATACAAGATCATTAGAAGTCAAAATTCATGAGAGAGAGAGAGAGAGAGAGAGAGAGAATCTTCAAAGGATTTGAGGATTCAACCTGCCCCAATTCGAGTTGGACTGAGAAGTTGATAACCATTGAGTCCTTTAGGGAAGGCACAACCTCCATGTATTTTATCGTTGTGCATCTCAATTAAGACCTGGTTAAAGTAATCAACCTCACAAGGCAAAACCAGAGGACCATCACTATTGAACCCATACTCCATCTCAGCCTCTTCAAGAAGAACCCGAAAGAGGGGGTGGTTTATGTAATCTGTTTTGAGAACGAATCGCTCCTTCTCTGAACCCACGTACACAGTGAAGCAGCCTTCAGGGGCCACCTTTCCCTTCTGAACGGAAGTTTTTTCCTTCAAACTCCGCGATCGCGGCCACGATTTGCTCTTTGAATCAGGAAGCAATGGTTTCGGAGGCTTTTGGTTATGCACAGAACGGCTTCTCCCCAATTTTTGCAGAATTCGGTCTAGTTTGCTACTTTTCCCCTTGCCCAATTTGAAATCCTCCATGGAAAACTCTAAAGAATGAGTGGATTAAGAGAGAGAAAACACAAAACAAGAAGGACCGAAGTCTCTGTTTGAATGGAGTGGTTCAAGGTTTAACCCCTGTCATAGACCAGGTACAATAGTCCTCTCATTCTAGGCCTCATGGTGTTACTCATGGCTCGAAATGGTCCCTCGGAGCGAACTCATACATAGATCGAAGCACAAAGCACACAGCCTCGTTGGGGCGATACAATTCAGGCACTTTATCACTTATATAGTATGGTTGGCTTTCTGGAGTCAACACCCCTCATCTAAAATGCAGCAGTTAAAAGCCAGATTATGTGAATTCAAGCCATAAAAGTGTAGAGAGAGAGAGAATACATGGAAATCAACCTTTTTTTGAGAGAGAGTATAGAAGAAAACCAACATGAAAATCAACCTTTTTCTAGAGAGAGAGAGTATACATGAAAACCAACCTTTTTTTAGAGAGAGAGAGAGGTCTGACCTCAAAATCTAGTAATCTTCTGGTGAAGTATTTATTGAAGTTTGTGGATGAGGATGCTTTGAATTTTTTGTATTAAGTGCCAAAATAAGCAATTTTATTGAACCAAATAAGACGTAATTTTTGGGCAGCTGATAAAAACCGAGGTGTCAATTTGGGAGTGTTTGGGAAGAAGGAGAGTTGTATACGGCTTCACGGCTCTTTAGAGGCGGCCTTAGGCTAGAGAAGGTGTTATTTAAATGGGTTCATCTCTCTCTTATTTCTGTCTCTTCAACCCTCTGGTATTTATTAAAGAAGTTGACTCTCTCTCTTTTGTTTCTCTCTCTTCATCCCCCTCTACGTATTTATTAAAGAAGTTGACATTTGGTGGCTCCGGCCGGCCGACTTCTCTCTGTTTCTCTTTGCTTTTGAACAGATCACTCTCTTTCTATCCATCTCTCAGATGTTAGTTTCGAAAAATCGACATTTGGTGACTCTCTCTACATTTGGGAAATTCTCTCATTAACAGATGGTAGCCTTCTCTCTACGTTTGGGCAAAGATCTCTCTCACATCTGATATCACTCTATAATCGGTTATTAACTTATTACCGATACGTTAACTAGTGCTCAAATTAACGATCCACTGACACATTCGAAACAGCCAGCTCCCTAATCTCTATCGAAAAAACGGTTAGAGTTTTGTCTTCCCCACGGAATTATCCAAAGAAAAAAAAAATAAAAAAGAGAGAGAGAGAGTGCTAGTGTTCAAACGACTTGAGCGAGTAATCGACCCATGTCATAATACTCATCCCATTCCCGAGTCAACTACTCAGCCTAAGTCCAACTAACTCCGCCCCAGTTGGTTGAGCATTGTAGCAGAAAAAAAAAAAGTTTAAAAAGTGAAAAAATATATATATATAATGAGGTTACAAAACACATCTAAATAAGGTTACAAAAGTAGTTAAAGAACATATGTTGAAAAATTAACTTACGACGGGTATTTCTAAAATAATCCAAAAAAGACGGATAAATATAAAAATTAGTATTCATAGCCAAAATACTTTGCAATCTTTGTGAAAATTATAGAACTCGCAAATAAACATGTTACAAATAGTTTCTTTTTTTTTTAATTTTTTTTAAAATAATTTTAAGATCCCCGAGTTAGACACCCAACTCAGGGATACTCTTGCTTGCCACTTGACCGAGAAGTCGAACACTAATGCCAACCTCCTTCAAGCATTACTAGAAAAATATGAAATAAAAAGGGAATTTATATAAGGTTACAACCTTATACTATGGAAATAAAATACACATCAAAAATCTAGTAGAAAAAAGTGCTCTAAGTTGGAAAACTTTCTAATTGGTCATCTCGACCATAAGATGCATAGGTATAAAGAAATAATAATAATGCCATATCTAAAAAATAGTACATCTTGCAATAAATTATCTGGACCATTTATTATCAAGATTTTTAAATGTTTCTGCATTCACTTGATCTACACCATTTTTTGGAACTTCAAATTTTATATCAGAGTTAAACATAAATTTTCAAGCCATCATATTGTTTCCGACTCTTGAACTACATTTTCTTGAAAAAAAATGAAAGGTGCGTCTTACTTGTAATGTACAAGGTATCCACCTTATAAAACCTCACCCGTTAAAAAAATATCAGCACAAAAACATGGGATTTATTGTTGTTAACGATTATTCGGTCCTGTGTTTAATAATTTAAAGGAATCGCAGTACCATATTGATCCTTCCAAGCAAGCTCTTTGTCGTGTAGTATACAAACTTTGGAGGGCGTCTAAGCCTTAACGTTTTGTGTGATGCCAAAGTAGCTAAAAATTAAATTTCATGATCAAAAGTAAAAGACTTTTAATATTTCTCATATTTATAATCTCATATTTCTTATGGACATATATATCTTAAGGGCATATTTGAATGTACTCATTAATAATTCGCTGATTAAATAAAATTAATCTTAATAATAACCATATGTCGCATTGCCTACAAAATTATTTGCGATAAATTTATAGGAAGTTTTTTAGAAGTTATTTTTATTTTATTCAAAGTAATTTGTGGAAATCAGTTAAGTTTTTGCCAAAAACAGCTAAAGATAGCTAGAAATTACTGAAATTAAGTTAAATAAAATAACCAAAATACCCTTATAAATTCAAAATTTTAGAGATATTTCAATTATTTTATTTATTTTAGTAAAATATTTTATGATATAATGAGAAATATCAACCACCCAAATTTGAGTTCCTTAAATATAGAAAAAATAAAATTAAATAACAACAAAAAAATCTCAAAAAAGCAAAGCTTCAAGGTAAAATATAAAATACTAAGGTTTAAAAAAGCACCATCTAAATCGAAAATAGTCAGGGTCGAACCAGTTTCCGCTAAATATCTAGGAACCAGTCAGTTCTGTCAAAGAGCTGGCCAAAACTGACCCTACTCTTTTAAAATAAAAATTCCAATTTTTTAAAATTTTTAATAACCAGATCAGTAAACATTATTGTCGATCCACTGAACCAGATCAAAAATATATATAAACAATCTGAACCTCTTTTGAAAACCACGTAAAGTACACAAGACTATTTTTAAATTTTGATCAAAATTAAATAAATAAATTTTTAGAAACAATTTTTCGGAAAATAGTCTATGTTGGCTGGCTTACCATGTCAAATTGACTAGGAACAAATCAATTTACTAACCAATCCCACTTGACAACGTCGATTCTAACCGGCTGCTTCCCACCTCAGGTCTCTTATCATGAATATCCATGATACATGCATAGTGATTCTTGTAAGTCATTCAATAGACAAAGAAAATAAGTTCTTTTTTTGTTAGAAAAAGTGACATTTTATGAGGGTACTCTTTTATTTTTTGAATAGCAACTCCTACGATGGAAAAAGTTTGTATAAGGGGGAGGCCCTAAACAATAAAATTAAGGCACACCTCAAAATTAACTAGAAGAGGTTGTTTCAATGCCCAAAAATCCTTAAATCGATAATCTCGACCTCATGATTTATGGACATGAGAAAAAATGGATCTCAAGTTTTGAAAATAGTGCATCATCTAATGGATTTTCTAGACAGTCAATTTTCAAGATTTTTAAACTTTCATAGATCTACTCGATCTATATTATTTTTGAAATTTTAAATTTTATAATTAGATATGAAAATAAATTTTCAGGTACTACAAAGATTTCTAATACTTGAATAATATTTTTTGACATTATTTGAAGGTGCGCCCTACTTTCATTGTTTAGCGCCTCAGCCTTATAGAAACCACATCCCTTTAATAATCTTGAAAATAGTGATGGAATGGTGCACCAGTTCTATTGTGGTCATGTCAAGAAATGGTGACAAGAAAGAGACGCATTGTTATTGAGGTTAATGGAAGACAATGCTAAGAGGACATGTCTCTTTCTTGAGATTTGCCTTCTAGGATTTGAAATTTTTATCTCGTGCTTTTACATCCGAAGATCCGCTAATCACTTTGGGGCCTTTCGTGTGCCTTTTTCTGTTGTGTTTTGGAGGTATGTTTTATTTTTATATTATAAACTTGACTCGGTATATAATAATTTTATTTCTTAAGATAATAACACTCAAATATGATCATGGCGATGCCGTGGTCATAAGGTTAACCATAATAAGCCGCACTATACATGTTATTAGTTTTGGTGCAACCCCAAATTTTATCATAAATGTAATTTTGGTGCAAAAATTCTTGGTGCAAAACTTCTTAGGAAGCCTTGAGAATCTATTTTGGTCTCTAATTATAAAATTTTAAATGGACGGTCCATATAATGTATTGTGAGATACACTATTTTTGGGATTTGAAATCATTTTTTCTTTTCACATTCATACATCTCGATGTTGAGGTGGTCAATTAGAGGGCTTTCCAATATCCCAATAACCTTTTATGTTGGATATTTGAGGTGCACCATAATTCTACATTTTAAAGATTTTTTAGGTGCATCTTAATTCTACATTTTAAGGTTACAACCTTATATAAACTTTTTTCTTAATTAAATATAAATCGAAGTGTCTGTCACTTTCAAACCCGTCTATTGGAAGGTGATGATATAGTGAGATAATGTTGTAGGTGATTATACTGTGTTAGTTTCAATGATTTCAAACCTTGATTAATTAGCAATTCAGAACAACTTAATAAGAGTTCTATGTGTTTAGGCAAGAACTGTGAACATCTTGGTTCACCTTATGTAGAATCACCACAACTGAACATTTGGATGAATCTTACTATTTTATTAATGAATTATGGTGAGTTTGAATTACTTAATGGTAAGTTTGAATTACGGTTTATCCTATGTTCAATCACCACAATCAAATAAAGGCTCACCTCAAAAATTTACAAGAAGACATTGTTTCGATGCTGAAAAACCTTCAATTCGATCATCTCGACCTGAAGATGTATGAACATGAGAAAAAAAGATATTTGAAGTTTTAAAAATAGTGCATCTTGTAATGTATTATCTGGACCATTGATTTTAAAAATTTTCAAGTGTTCATATATCTCCTCAATTTACACTATTTTTTTATCTTTCAATTTTATAATTAGATATGAAAATAAATTTACAAACCATCACAAAGATTTCATATACTGAAACAACATATTTTGACATTATTTGAAGTTCGAAGTATATTTACCCTTGATTGCATCGCACACATATTGTGTTGAGCGTGCCTTATATAGACTTTTTCCAAATAAAGGCTTTAAAGGACCTTGAAACCAAGATAAGGATCTTTAAACAAGGTTAAAACATGAAAATTTCACTATAAAACTAAAATTAACATATATAAATCCAAAAGCCCAATTCTTACCTCATTTTTCTAGCCCATGTTTGGCATGGGATAAAAATGAAACTGAAGTGGTCACAGTGACGTTTGTTGCTCAATGATTTTGCCAAAACTAGTCCGAATTTGGGCCGACCAAGTCGTCACTAGATAAAGAAAACTTGCAAATAACAGGAATTTTAAATCCCCAAATGTTGGACCTTTCCTTTAATATTAACAAATTTTGAGCAAAAATTGTGGACTTTAAATCTCTAAATCGGAAAGGGTCCCCCGTTTTTGTGTCAATTATGAAAGAAGTTCCAATATTCCTTGGAAAAGGAGCACCTCTACATTCTAGTCACCACGTTGTGGTTTCTATTTCCATTGATACCACTTCATTAATA